AAACCAGTGTCCGCAGCATCTTCTCCCCTTTCCTCTGGCAGTCTACAACCCCTGACGTCATTATGTCTAATGTAGGTTTCATAGACGTGAGGATGCAGAGGGACGGTGAGCAGCCGGAGATGAGGGGCAGCAGACGAGAGCACTGACCGCCAGGGGAGTAGGGATCAGGTAAGTTAAAGGGCAGCCCCAATGCAAGGGAAGTTCTTTGGTTTGCCCAGAGCTGGGCTTTAACTTTAGCCAAATATGATTGGCAAACATAGAATGGGAGGCAAGCGCTGCAGAAGAATGCTCCCCAAAACAAGGGGGGTGCATCATTCTTATTATATGTAACCCAGAACTGTCAGAATAGGTGTTTATATCCAGCAGCATGTGACAAATAACACTCCCTTCAATCACTGCAGAACAGGATCTGTAACCGTTTCCATAACAGACTGGGTAGAAGAAAAGGAAGGAAGAGCCCAGCACCCCACTCCTCCAACACTTACGGCTCCATGGCGCCCTAATCCACTCCCGATCGCCCGTCCGCCTTCCTTTGCCTGCCAACTCACAGAAGAACCCAGCCGCTTCCACACTTGTTTGGGAAACGCCTTCTTCCGCATACGTCACGGCCCGCCCCCTTATCCAGAATTTTTTACACGCTCCAGGGAAAGGAAAAGGGCGGGGCGGTCTGAGGCTACTTCCGGACACAAGGTCGCCATGTTTAATACTGGCAGGCAAAAAATACCTAGCCGCTACTGAAATGGTAAATATCGCGCCCACAGAAAGGGTAGGCTGAGGTTTCCAACGTAAGGCTTAATGCTGTTCATGTGTTTAAAAAAATGCGTACGAATAAACTGAACTGCATGTCGTTAGTAGACGTACACGTTATAGAACAGTAGCTTAATGCGCTGTCATTGGGGCTTGTCACACTGTTGCGCACGCACACTAAGGAAGCTTATTCATTTGAACGGGCTGTCTAATCCACCAAAAAAAGTGCATGAGACGGTAATGGTTGTGGTGTGCCGCAATACATGTCAGTCAGCACGGTGCGTCAGGGTGCTATGCAGAGGGATTCAAAATATATATGCAAAATGCATTACTACAGGGCAAATGTGTGACCTCAGCCTGACCCGAAAGTGGAATTCCAGGCAAATATAAAAGGGTCACTATTTAAAGCCCACCACCAGAATAATACCAACCCCCTTTGCCCTGGAGTTAAAAAAAAAGAAAAACCCAAACTCTCTAAATGCCCTTTAAACTTATCTAAAGCTGCGGTCATGTGACACTCAGGTCCTGGGTCTACCTTTGTTTACTTCCTGTGGGGTCCTTCTATGGGTGTCCGCCTCACTGCCTGTAAGACATGGGCACCTTCTATTGATGCCATGTGGGTGGTAGGGGACTGCTCAGCAATTATATTGGTCCCCCACACTCAGAAATGGCAACAGAGAAGGACATGGAGGGGAGGGGACGAAGGCTTAGGTGTGTGTAACTTCCTTCACAAGGTAAGGAAAATTAAATGTGTCAGCAGAGGCAGCGTGGATCGGAGGGGACACAGCCGATCCAGCTGCTGGCACCCAGCAGGGAGGAGAGAAGCTCTCAGGGGGCCAAGCGGAGCAGTACAGGGAGAAGAGACCTGTCAGGTGGCCAAGCAGGGCAGTGCAGGGTGAAGAGACCTGCCAGGTGGTAAAGCAGGGCAGTGCAGGGTGAAGAGACCTGTCAGGTGACCAAGCAGGGCAGTGCAGGGTGAAGAGACCTGTCAGGTGACCAAGCAGGGCAGTGCAGGGTGAAGAGACCTGTCAGGTGACCAAGCAGGGCAGTGAAGGGTAAAGAGACCTGTCAGGTGACCAAGCAGGGCAGTGCAGGGTGAAGAGACCTGTCAGGTGACCAAGCAGGGCGAAGAGACCTGTCAGGTGACCAAGCAGGGCAGTGAAGGGTGAAGAGACCTGTCAGGTGACCAAGCAGGGCAGTGCAGGGTGAAGAGACCTGTCAGGAGGCTGAGTGCGGCATTGCAGGGAGGAAAGCCGGCGGCCGCTGTCAATATACAGTGTACAGAATACAGTGAAGACAGCGTAAGATTCCTTTATCACCGTTAGTAGGCGTTAATGGAGGAATCTATTTTATTTTCTTCATTCTGCCTACGGGTTGAATGAAAAAAATAGCACAGTGAATAGCCAGCTTTTAAAAACAAATAAATAATCAAAACTTGAAAATAAAGAAGGAAAATAAGTTAAAAAAAAGAAACCTAATGCAGCCACCCCATCTAAGGACAGGAAAGCTGCAATATATTACATTTTTGTTTTTTGGATTTAGAATGCTCGAAACTCACTTTTCCTTTATATTGACTTTTCAAAATAATACATTCAATAAGTTAGAGGTTGGATGAAAGGTTGAGTGTTGTATAACACTTTCGGTAATCAAATAGTACATTTGTATAGAGGCCTCTACAGCAGATCAAAAAGAGGGACAGCTCAAGAGGAAAGAGGGACAGAACAATGTGGTTCTAAAAAAAAAGGGACATCCCCTCCAAATGAGAAACAATTGGGAGCTGTGTGATTGTGTGTTTGTTGTACATTATTTAATCCCCTGCAGTCTTGTCACTATCACACTATGTTACTATTATCCCAATGTTTTGCCACGGCATGATACGCATGCTTCTACAAGTCCCTCACTCTGGGCCACATCCAGTCTCAGGCTTACTGAGCACTAACATTTCCCAGGTATGCCAATTAATAAGTCCCATTTTAATGGGCCAGATAACTGCAATAGTATTGGTTTGAAACCATAGCAACGGAAGGTTTAAAGGAGAACTATGAGGTCAGTCATTTCCACTCATCCTCATAGTTAGAGCCGATGTGTGACAATGAAAACTGTCACAGGTCGGCTCTATAGATCAGGAAGTGAGCGAACACATACCGTCGCTTGCTCACTTTCCGATTATCTCCCTGCAGAGAGTGGTGACTGTCAGGATTCCCCCCTCTGCTGACTGGGGGAACAGACGGGGGTGGGCACAGATGGCTCTGCCTCTAGATAGGCAGAGCCCGCTGTCAATCAGCCAGCTGGGTGGATCTCGACCGTATAGTCGGGATACCTCCCCGCTGCAGCGCTCTCAGTATATAGTGGACAATAGCTCGCTATATACTGAGCTTTGGGTCACGGAAGGATGTTAGAATATGTCCTCCTGTGACCCTAAAGAGAACTATAGGATAAAAAGGTTACCCCATATTGCTCTTTTAAGTACCTGACTGTCTCTGTATGAGCTTTCCCCTGCACACTGGGAAAGGGAAGAGTAGCATGGTGAGCCAGGCAGTACTGCATCACAAGATTCTAAGCTGGGATATTGCTGACGGAGTGATGACCTCATTCATTTGGTGATGTTTCTTTATTGTCCAATTTGCACGCTGGGGATGAGTCATTGACCAAGCTGTGTTGCCTAATTACAGGGAGAAAAAAAAAGAAGTCCTGCAGAGCTACAGCCTCAGAGTCTTCATTTCTAAAATTCCCAGGTTTGTTAGATGCAAGTGGTTCAACCCGCCAACTGGACACAGTAGTGACATAGTGCTTGCAAAAGAGCAAAGTTTGGGGGATCAGTTGGCAGGAGTGTAAACAGTCTTCTATTACAGAATGTTTTCATTTGGACTTTTTTTCAGGAAGGCAACAGAGTTACTTTACTTTAAACAAAAGTAAAGTTTTCCTCCCAACACCAATGATGAGGCACAATTCCACCCACTGAAACCTATGATGGTGCACTATTCTTTCCGCTAACACCAACAATGGGGCACTATTCCTTCCACTGATCTCAATGATGGGGCACAATTCTCCAACTGACACCAATGATGGGGCACTATTCTTCCCACTGCACCAATAATGGGGCACAATTCCTTCTGCTAACACCAACAATGGGGCACTATTCCTTCCACTGATCTCAATGATGGGGCACAATTCTCCCACTGACACCAATGATGGGGCACAATTCTTCCCACTGCACCAACAATGGGGCACAATTCCTTCCATGGACATCAACAATGGGGCACAATTCCTTCCATGGACATCAACAATGGGGCACAATTGCTTCCACTGACATCAAAAATGGGGCACAATTCCTTCCACTAATACCAATGATGGGGCATAATTCTTCTTACTGACACCACAAATTTGACACACTTCCTTCCATCAACACCAATAATAGGCCATTATTCATTCTCCCACCAACCTCAAGTGGTAGATCATACTTTTGCTGCCACTTACCACCAACTCTGTGGCATTCTTTACTCCCACAGACCACCAAGCCTGGGGCATTGTTTACTCCCACTGACCACAGTCTAGCCTCCTTTACGTTTTAAGGATAGTTACCTGGCCCTTTCTTTAGAAAGTTTGTGAACCCCTGGCCCGGATGTTTGCCTTATTTATTAACTCTGTATACTTTCATCTTTTACTAGGAATGTTCGTTTTGTCTGGTTAAAGCTATATCTTGACACATGTATAACAGTATAGCAGCACATACAAACTATGGATAAATATAAACTACCCCAGCCATCTGGATTGTAGGAATTGAGGACTGGAGGACAGTGGGAGGTACTGTTTTGTGTTTATATTATTTTTGTCTACGGTTTTGTTTCTGGGGTTTCAAACAGAGCTGGTGAACAGACTGACTTTGCAGGCTGTGGAAATCCCCATTCTTTCTTATAGTACAGTATATTGCTTTTAATCCATGCTAAATATAAGGTTGCTGAAAGGTACCATGCTAAGAGGCAACCTGTAGGCAGTTCAGTATAACAACAGATTGATAGACACAGACTACAGTAAGGCTCAGAGGCATTATTACAGGAGTGAAGAGGTCAGTCTATGCCACACTTCACAAGATATGTTTATTTAGTTTGATATACCGCTCCTATCGATATTATGGAACCTATATTTTTTAACAATCAGTGCAACCTTAACATTGGTGATAGCAGTTTATTGCAGTAATACCCTAAAGAGACAGCAGTGACAGGTGAATGTTAGCAGGAGCCATATTACAGTACCTGTAGTAGCGATCATCTTTGTACGGTGTCAAATCTTCTTTCAGTTCCTTGTATGCATCACTGACCTTTTTACAGAAGTCTTTAAATTCATTACATAGGGCACTTTCGAATGCTGCATAATCTGGATCCATCCTGCTATATTTCACCAGCCATACATCAGGTGAAGTAGAAGAACCAGGAATCACTGTAGGGAGAAGGGCTGCCTACAATTTCCATTGATTTGCTTTCGGTGCATTGTCCTCGAACTTCTTTGTCATCTAATCCTTTTCCTTTTTGCTTTTGGTTTCCTCCTCCCGAACGCCTTATAAAATTAAAGCAAGCCAGCTGCCTCGTCTCTATGCAGAAGCAAGTGATGCTGCTAAGGGGGAGTGTAGTGCTGTTTGCAAGGAGACCACCCACAGGATACATCATAGAGATAGTGCTGCCATCTATGCAGGTTTCCATAGGAATTACATCATGTAACAGATGACAGCAGAGATGGATACTGTAGCTAAAAGGTTAGGCACTGATGATAAAACCCCCTCAAGACTTGTGTATTTATTTAACCTCATCATGTCCAGATGTCTTTGTTTTATTTGTATAATTCAAATTTCTTTAATTTTGGATTTAATGTCAAGATATTGATAGGATAAAAAAAGTCCAAAGACGAGAAACAAAAATAGTAAAAGGCATAAGGGCTAAAACATGTCGGAAGAGACTGAAGCAACTTAATATGCACTTGAGGAAAAAGGGGGATATGAATGAAACCTTTAACCCCTTCATGACTGAGGCCCTTTTTTCATTTTTTGCACCCATGTTATATTCCACATTTTAGGCCTGAAAATGACGTAAAACCCCCCAACATTATATATTTTCTGAATGCCAAGACCCTATAGAATAAAATGGTGGTAGTTGAATTAGAATGGCCCTAGAATTATTGCTCTCACTCCGGCGTGCGCGGCA